TCCTGGGTATGCATGAAGCACGATAATACGGGACTCCATTAAGGCAACTTTCACGAGGATGTCCATGATGGTGCTCCTGCTGACATCACCAGGCGGTATCCCAGCCTTGTAGGAAACCCGACAACGCCTGACGGCCAGGGCATCATCCAGCGAGGACAGGCCGTTCCGGCCATAATCATCATCGATGAAAATGACGATTACGTCCTTCCACCCAAAGTGGTCGATGATGTCGGCAATTGCAGTCATTTGGTGGAGGTCGCTTTGTGTGGTCCGGATGAAGTAGGGGAACTGGAGAGATGAGAGGGTCGGGTCAGTGGCTGCAAACGAGAGGAAGGGTGTCTGGAGCTCGTTCGCAACGTGGAGTATCGTGTGGGCCACCACGGAGGATTGCGGCCCGATGACAGCCACCACGTCTGTCTCCATGTATTGTAAAGCTGCAAAATGGTCCGTAATTGTTATTTTTTTTTCTCTTTCATTTCACTAATGCAGTATTCTGCTAAATTCAAATGATTCTTCATAAAAAATGAAGTCCATTTAAGAAAGCAAGTGTCACCAAAATTAGAAAGTAAATGAGTTTACCTTCAACCAGGCCAAGAAATCCACTGCAGTTGGTATTTCTGATATCCACATGAAGTTTTGTTCCTTTGAGGATGCTGGAGTTGGAGTTGACATCTTTCACAGCTTCTTCAATGGCAATCTTGGCAACTCGGCCGATGGTGGAATCAAGTGTGATAATGGCTCCAACATTCACAACTTTTGGTCTTTTGGATGAAGAAGCATTTGCACTTAACTCGTTCGACGAAAATCCCAAATGAAGTAACCCCAGAAAAATAATCCAGAACAAGCCCATCCTAGATATAACTAATTACACATGGACGCTAAAAATCTGCACACCAAAAGGAAAGACCACTCCTTTATTACTCAAGTTCTCAGAAAAGGACAGCCTAATAACTTTAGCCTTAAAAAAAATGCTTTTCGTGATGTCCCAAGTCATTCATTCATATTTTACTGATCCCCACACAACAGAAGGAACAAAATTCTAGACAGCCAAACAAGAATAAAGTTGAAGGGCTATAAAAAATTAAATAGGGTACGGGCATACACACACAAATAGCGCAAAGGATCAGATTCTGTGCAGAGTATCAAACCTTAAAACCCCCAAAGATTGCAACTTTAGCAACATAATATGCTTGAAACAGAGGACCCATTGGATGAACACATGAATTGATGGATACAAAGAAGAAATTAATGAACTAAAAAAGGAAAGAGAAGGTGTAAGAAGAAAACCAGAGAGAACAAGCGAGAGATCGAAGAACACATACAATAAATACACACAAAAAACACATAAAACGTGTGGATGAGGTTTAAACTGTTTGTTCACTGTTAAAGAAGTCACCTAAGCTAACAAAATAGCCCCATTAGGCTCCAATTTCAGCTTATCCAATGCATGATGTGAACAATTGATGGTACTGCTCTGCTGCAGTGCTGCTGTATGAATCAACGCACGCAGCTAATGGGATATGAATATTATTACGATCATCTAATTATAGTAGATTTTTCGAGTGGGAATGACTAATGAGAAGATGACAAAAATCGAAAGCAATTATTAATTTGAAGTGCGTATGGAGTCGGAGGGTCTTGTCCACCCATTGCTGAACCATGAGTCAGAGATAGACGACGATGGACTATCATTATTATTCGACTACCACGTTCCTTATTTGTGCTTAGGCGGATCTACGAGGATTGAGGAGTTGTACAAAATGAATTATTAGTTAGACTTGTCAAAGCTCGAGTTCGAACAAACGAACGGAGTTCAAACTTATTTAAAATTTATTAGTTACGCTCCAAGTCGTTCGCCTTGTTAAGGCTCGAAAAAAAATATATATATATAATTTTTTTGTAATACGGCTCATTAAAACTTGAGTTTATTTTATTGAGATTCGAGCTCAACTCGTAAATATTGATAAACGAGTGGGGCTCGAGTTCATTTATCAGTTTGTCAGCTAAGATTTGATTTGGTGGACAAGAACTATTTATTTTTTCAATTAAATGTCTTATTTATTGTGAATCTTATCTTATCTTATCTTATCTTACTAACTTAAAAGTGTGAATGTTTTTGTAGAATATAAATAGACAAAATTACCCTTACTCTTTTAATTTTTTGATGGCTTAATTGTCAATTGTTAAGAGTTCATTTAATGAGAGGGAGTAGTAATTGTTCCTTAATTATATAAACATTTCTTTTCAGTTTATATTTTGGGTTTTTTTTTTTTTTTTTT